TAGGCTCTCATGCAAATGCTTTACCTAGGTGGCCCATTCTCCACCAATGTTAACATTAGGCTATGCTTACACCATGCTTCATAATAACAATAATAATAACACAGAAGTCAGACAAGTCGTTTTAAGGCTGGAATTAATGTAGAATTAAGTGTTACTAAGTTTAAATCCAAGTGGAAAATTATTATAAATTCATGAAGTCAATACTTAGAAACTGACACATAGGCCTATCATTAGGAATGAGTAGGCCTATTAGGCATTCACCATGAAAAAAAGTAGCCAGTCTACTGTAAGTCAAGTATAAGATGCATTTGAAGTTCGCTCATCGTAGATCATACGACAGACTAAAAGACGGGAAAGGAAGCTGCTCTTTACTCCACAAGTAGGAAAACAAGTGTGGATAATTCCTAAATCGGAAGTGTATGAATAACAAGCGGTGAATAAAGAGGAAGCTTCATTTGCAAGGGGTTAATTGCTCACATATTCAAGCTGCAGAACGCATATTATTTTTCTTTTCTGTCGTAGCTTGCAATGAGCAATCTGATACATCGCGATTCTAAACCATTTTTTCTTAAAATCCTTATGAAACTATAATAACACATCTGCACATAACATAAATGAGATGTTTTCCGCAAGCCAGTAAAAAAAAATAAAGTTTAACTTCCTTAAAGTCATAAAATTTAGACATGGATTAGGATGTTTTTCTTAAACCACTCATTCGTATATATGATTTGTTTAAACTATTTTCCTCAAAATCGTTATGAAACTAAAATAACACATCTGTACAAAACAGTGTGATTGAGTTTTCGGCAAGCGCAGTATTCCATGAATATATTAAAAATAGAAAATTTTACTTCCTTAAGTCATAAAAGTTAGGCTTGGATTAGGATTTATATTTTAAATCACCCATTCGTATAAAGTACTATGTATGACTCTGCATTTTGTGTGATAAAAAAAAACAGTCTAATTGATGTCAGATTAATGACAACACACCTGGAATCCATCGGTACTGTCCCCTTCTCCAGAGTTAATGAAAATTCTAAGTAAAAGCTAACACAAATCTATTTATAGGTCGGCGCGTATTATTTGCTTTGTTGTAGCTCGACTTACAAAGTTGCAATAAATAATTTTAAAAAAGTGTGTCAACCTTACAAAGTTCTACATGATAAAAGTATGGCGCAATACTACAAAAGAGCAGACTTTTCTAAATATAATGAATAATGCCAATGAATACATAGAAAACACGAGATGTATCAACTTCTTTTGACTTTTGGTAGCACTATCTTTTCAAAAGTAATATCAATAATGATAATAGCAATTTTGTAGCAGATTGATGTTACTGTTCATTATGACATATCACTTATTAGTAAGGTAATAACAAAAAATAGACCGATGGCGTAGTATAACACACTGAATCCATTAGTACCGGTACTATCCAACTCTGTAAAGAATAATTATCATGAAGAAACTAGTAACACAGCTATTTATAGGTCAACATATGCGTGGTTTCTAAAGTGCAAAGAATATAAACCAATTTACTCAACACAATATAGACCTAAGCACGTTGTCACCTGACGTCTTGTAACCTGGACTTTTAACACCGTTGCGACCGGATTGCTAGACATTCCAGGTCAGTTGCCACACATTTTTTATTTTATATTGATGCAGTGATAAATACTAATACAATACATAAAACAATAAAATTACAGAAGCTTTTAAAAATAAAATTATTGAGAGACAAAAATTGAAACAGAAAACAGCTGCTTAGCAAACCAATTAAAAAGAAAAATAAAACCAATCATTAATATTAATTTATATCATTATACTATTATATGCAAAGCAAAAATAACTACTGTACTTAGAAGCACTGCAATTTCATTAAGGTCAGTAGTGACTTTAACGGTGTCTTACTGTATCAAATCGGTGGCAATCGCTAAATCTCCTATTAAATGGAGTTGTTTTAGTCATTAGAAAGAATCAGGGAACCTGGAAGAATTTCACCCCAGCGGACCCAATTAGGAAGGCGATGGTTTTAACTACGAAGCTATTCAACTCCACACTATAATATCATGCCCTATAAAGAAACGAAATCTTTGCACGATAGGAAAGAAAATTATCAGGATAAGTTTATAGACCAGTAATCTACCAACGTATGACTACTTAGACCTATCGCGACTTGGCTAATATTACACTAGAAAATGATGGCGTTACTTAATCTGTAATTACTCATATTTATATTCAAGCTGCAAACTATTTCAGATGGCATGGCGAAAGGGAAATACAGCTTACGAACAGTGGTGGACCGTCAAAGCAAGCGAGGTATGCAGTGCATACCCTGGCTAAAATAATTAAAAAAATATGGTACAGTAGTACAATTTTTCCATTTTATTTAGCATATATAGAATCTTCTATATAAACCTTACTTTTTTGAGTGAATTGCTACAATTTATTGGAATAGCAAAGTTTTTCGATGTTTGGATTTGGTATCTAGAATAAGTCATAGTCGGGCCTATCGCTGGACGCAGGGTTCCCGGAACGCCGCCCTCAGCAGCGAGTGCGAAGCACAACTCAGGGTCAAAAGTGGAACGTGAAATTTGGATATGGTTTTGTAGTCAGATTTGCGAGAAAAACTTCAGCTACCCATATTTCTCGACTGAGACGTCAGTGGGAGCTGTAATGTGTATGGCAACGAGATTGTGCAACCCTTCATTCGTATGAAGAGAATTTACGCCCATAAACTTTGTAGTTATTAATATTTTGGTTATAATAGAATTATTCATTTTTTTGGTGACATCACACTCACATTAGTTAGCATGCATACGTCATAAGCTAGATACGTCACCTTTCCTGGTAAGGCAAACTTTCCCGGTGGCGTGCTTTTTTCATGGATAAACACCACTGCTTTGCACATGGATGCCTTGCCCAAGCCAGGGCTACAAGAGCCGCATTGTTAGCATTGTATAATACTTAAACAAGGTACCTCTGCAAATGAATTATTTTTAGTTATTTTTTTTTTCTTATTTTAATTTATTTCTTCCGAAAGAGTACTCTCTATCACATATAATTCCACTGTCTTAGTTAGGCCTAGTCTTATGCCTCATCGTCCCCCGCTACACAGTACATCAGCAGCCCTTCCCCCATACAGTACAGACGTTTGCTAGGTAACAACGTGATTGCACCTTCCTTCCCAGGTGTTCATGTAACATTGACATAATTGTCAGCTAACCAGTTGAGTGTATTTCTTTGTGAAAATGAGTACCGCTGCGTACTCATTTTCACAAAGCATTTGCATCCCCTCTTAGAAAGAGGGATTCGAAATAATTGTCTCCATATCTTCGCTAATTGAATTAATCACCGTAATTTAGCATACACTTCTGAATTTAGGGAGCACCAAAAATGTGAAATAATCATTTCACTACCCGACAAAACTTTATTCATTCATTAGGCCTAAAATAGTTTCATATACTCCAACATCACTGGTGCATGGTAACAACCAACTGACTGCAGATCATTTCCGGTCACACATTACTCTCCATAACACAGCACCCACTAGTTTTGTCACCTCTGGATCGCATGGTACTCTCAGCTAGTTAGAAGTTCCGCATGGCTGGTTTTCCATCTCAGCCAATCACGTATTCAGTGAGACAATGGGCATCAGAACATACCCTACAACGCTTAAATTTGCTATTGTGACAATCGTGTGTGATGGCGTCAGAATAGCCAATTTAACACTGGGATGTGCTTGCAAGTGTGTGTGCGCATGCTCTTTAATCGAGACCTCCACCGCCGATCGGGTATTCTATCGACAGGCTTAATTTCAATAATTAAAGTTTAAATAAATTTACATACATATGACCGGTATATAAGAAACTTTGAATTATGATTATTTGAATTTGAAATTTGTTAAAATACCGGAATAGAAATTCTTTTGAAGAGAAGATACTACAACGATGCCGGTATTAAAAACAACATACCGGTACATTTGTATTTTGACTATTGAATGCAATCAGATTCTGTATAGTAGTAGGCTTACGAACTTTTCCTAATAGCAGGCACTAGTACGTATCAGCTTGGGGTCTTGTAATGGAGAGGAGCTGATGGGAGTGGGAAGGTAGATCGGTGATTAGGTGAGGGGACTAACTCGCAAAATAAGGTTATTTGACGTGATTTTTAACTTGAGCATGATTTGTGGACGGCAGCGCGACTGGGGGATAGGCGAGTATTTTTTTCAGGGGGTGGGGAAACATCCTAGATATGCCAATACCTAGCATACACTGTAATTTACCCCACGGTCCGCCACTGCTTACGAACTCATGACAAATGGCTTGCAGAAGGCTCATCACACACCCAATAATACCTAGAAATAGGGTAGGCAGCACGAATCAATGCACAGGTCCGCTCATTGATTGGAAACGCGGTGGTCTGGGGTAGATATAACCCTGTGTTTTTCTTTTTGTTTCTTTTAGATGGTTGCAGTTCTCTATTTTCACAAGTTCTCACAACTTAATGTATTTGTCGGTTGTTTCTGATCTCATTATTGACCTGAATTTATTTGGATCTTGCATTGTTGGTTAGAAACTATAATAATTATTATTTGGAAAATTTGAACGTTTTTTTTTTCTCTCTCTCTTATCGAGAACAACTCTGTTTCTCCCTGACGCGGGGGGTGGGGGAAGCTCTCCCCAACGGGGGTCCTCCCCCTACCCCGGCTCTCCCGTTGTCGCCATACCTACTATCGTATGTATACGATATTCATATGCTTACAAGGTTATTATTTTTAAAAAATAGATATATAAAAATCAAATTACCAATTTGATGAATAAATATAATGGTACACATTCCATTGTAATGACACCACATAAAGTAAAGTACCGTAAGTAATGTTAACTATTCTTAGAATTTTCCTTATTTATAGGCTTAATAGCGATCGCAATAGGGCTTAATAGTCTTACGGAGGTACTTATCATTTTTCTAATATCGACGCCAACTGTGCTCTAGTTGATGATGTCCACGCAAAATGATTTGTATGTTTAATAACTAATCTATTGTACTTTGACCGGTTATGGTTGTTTACCTACATCTCTACACTGCAGAATCGACAAAGAATTCATTTTATAGTAGAAGTGGTATAGATCGTCTGGCATTTTGAAAAAGAAAATTAATATCTAGGTAATACTTAAAGTAGAAATAATTAATACATTATAAGAACAAAAATGAAAAGTAGGAGAAAACAGTGCCGATATACGCCTCAAGGAAAACCCTACAAAGAACTAGAGTATATGGTCAATTCAGACGGAAAATATGTGTACTGCAAGTACTGGAAGCCACCAATAGGCATGGATCTAAGGTATCAAAACTTATTTTAAAAGAAATTCAATGTTGTTTTCTCTAACTTTAAAATAGGTGTATATCAATTCACAAGGGTTGATGCTATAGGCACTGATATGTCAAATAAGTAGCTACTTGCAGACATTGTCTTTTTTGTACAACATCAAGCACATAACACATTAGTTAGGGTGAAAAACCCAGTTTTTTGGCCAAAGTGGCAACAAATTATTTACAAAGGTTTTTTGAGTAGAAACTATTCAAGAGGGCTTTAACAGCCACCAAAAAAAAAAATTGGAACAATTTTTCCCATGGGAAAAAGAGTTAGGACCTTTTATATAAATGTCAATCTATTTTAGTAACAAACACTGAAACGGTAGGGGTAGTCGGTTCTATTCCACATATGACCCAAAAAACAATTGCAAGAAAACTTTTTTTCGGATGTGGTCTAGAAAAAAAGATTATGTAAATTTTAGCCAAAAATTGCACAAGTATGAAGTGATTTTTCTAAGTTGGCCACCAAAATGGCGTCAAAAACATTAAAATAGCCATAAACTAAGTTCTTTTTGTCTCGGAGCCTTTTTTTTTTCTTAACTGAAACCAATTCAAAATTCATCTGATAATGATTAATAATTTTCAAAAATTGAATAATTCCACAAAGTCATCCAAAATGGCTACTATATTTTTCATTTTGGTAATTGCAGTGTCTAAATTTTCTGAGTCATAGCATTTATCAATATCATAAAAAATATGATTTAATAAGAGCTTAAGTAAAATATAAATATCAAATTTGGTATGGTCGCTTTACAGTGGCATGTCTGGGAAGGGTGTGTGTGGGAAACCTGTCTCTTATACACATCTAGATGTGTATAAGAGACAGGGGGCGAGACGCTGTCCAAAAAAAAAACAAACTTACGCCTCCTTCACATTGGAAGCCAAAAAGTCAGCTCAGGTAGTTAAAATCATTGAATATCATCTTATTTTGCAACTTAACGCCCACAAAAAAAAACATTGAGCCACACTGCACCCTTGCGTCTCCCACATCATCCCCCTGGTACTTCTAGATACGCAACTGTCCCTATACAATTTATGATTAAAAAATACTGTACTCTGCTGAGGCTATGGCCCACTGTTATAATGAGCATTTGTATAGCATTTCCTAAAACTTTGTATTCTTCCTAAGTGTCTCGTTGTCAGTTATCTACTCCACAGCAGAGACTGGACCAGTGCACTGAGAAATATTAATGTTCTGGGCTCTTTTAAAATTGATAAGATTTATATGGTTTATAGTCTTTAGATTTGGTAATACCACCCAATCCATGAGCAAACGTGTCGCACCCAGCTCCCATATGTAAGTCTCCTATAATAGTGATAATACAATCCCACTGAAGCCAATATCAAGTTTGGTGGCACAAGGAATTGGTTTGATTAATACCTATTAAAGATTAAATCCTACTCAAGTTAATACCTACTAGTGCAAATAACCTACTGAATCTAAGATCAAAACATATAATTCCTACTAACTCTAAATTCAAACTCTACTAAAGTTAAGATATTGCTACTTTAAAGCACCATCCTACCAAGTGTTGTCCTATTAGAACACATATAGATCCCTTGAGGCGATTTTTCTGGGGAAGGCGCTATATAAATATATATGATCATTGACACTGACAGTAAAACAGAAATATATAAACATGTTTATATAAATCATGTTGAAAAGACAACATAGACAGCAGAATGTTCTGGTTTAGGAAATATTATTTCTCCCACATTTCTCTTCAAATAGATAAATAATAATAACAGTCTCCAGATGGGAAAATAAGATATAGAAATATGAGAGGA